CGGATCTTGGGGTTTGTAGGAGCTGGGAGTCATTCCCAACTCGTAACTCTTCCTATCTTGTGTTCTAAGACTATAGTGGCTGCCATAGTACCGTTCGTTCAAACCGACGCTGTGTCGTCAATTCTGTATCAAATCGTGCAATCTAAATTGTTAATTGTAGACGACGTGAAGACGCTCCAGATCCAATTTGAATCAAGTCATTTGCAGCTGTGAGCAGAACGCTATCAACGTTTGAAGCCGCTGTGCAGAAATCCGTCTGTGCTCTCTATCTTTCGTTTTAGGCACATTCAAGCCTATTGTGACTATAACAATTCGCTGCAGTACCCCTTAGAGTACACGGCTAGTTTAGGACCTTTCGTATTCCTTGTATTTCCTATATAAACTCATGTATTTAGTTGTTATAATCACTTCACTCATTTCATATTCACTCTGATCTGAGGTCAATTACCGTCATTACCCGTATGTTACACCCATGGGCTTATAATCGGACTAGTGGGCTTATAGCCGGTTGCCAATCTTAAGCCCACCCCAAATTTTGTCAATCTTTGTATAAGCGCACCCATTGCAGTTTAATGTTTTTAATAGTGAAATCGTCGTTAATGCGCCTAAAGCAATTGCCACTGACGTGCTTGGCGAAATCCCCCCTGGCTCGCTTGGCGAAATTGCCACGGGAGCGCACATAAGGCAGAATTAGCAATAGTTCAGCATGTGCTGACAAGGATTATTGCCCCAGTATGATGCATTCTCGGAAAGTTTCAGCTTGTGTTAGCATCAATTGAATATGCGAGGGTGAAATCTACATTTCAGTGTTTTGAAATCAAAATTCTATAAGTGCCACTTTTTTAGCCCATGGGCTTATAAAAAAAAACCTTATTATAAGCCCACCCAACCTTTTCCCTTGTTTTTTAATAAGCCCACCTAGGAGTATATCCAGTCCGAGTGATGACGGTACTTCCGCTGTATTAACTCTGTGCGAACAAACCTGAGGACGATCCTGGCAAAGTCCTCCGTGGGATCGTAACAAGTACCATCAATTTTCGCGAGTATGAAAAAGTGTCATAACTGACGTCCGATCCGAACAATGCTCAGTTCGGATGCTGGAGCTGGACCATCTGATAATCGGTATCCGAACCGACAGTGGTCTGGACGTTTAGCTCTTTTAAAAAAAGTAACACGCCCTAACAATACATTGGGGATGAAAGAGAAACAAGTACCGTATGGTCAGGCCCTCAGATAGGTTTGGGGATACCCTGACCCATCAGTACTGTACCCCCTAAATTGTTTTTCCACACTGACGGTTCAGTGTTGGGGTGACAAGTTCATACTGAAATGTCAGTGGCGTCTTTGATAGGAAACTGTAGTGTCAGTGTATTTTTTTTTAACAATACTGAATTTCAAAAATTTAAAGGGCAAACAGTTTGTGCACCATTCTATCTTTAACTAAACCCTACTCTTGATTTGTTACTACAACAAAATATGTTATGATTTTCTTAATATTAAAGCACTCCAAACATCACATGCTGTTACCATCAGCCTCATCTTCACTAGCATCACTAGCATCTGTCTGCCTGCGTCCTTTCCCACCACCACCCCTTCCCGCCACATCTTCTTGAGACTTTCGCTTTGTCGGCCGCCGCTTCTTCAAGCTGCGCCAGATGCTCACGATTTCACTCCAATCAGCATCATACTCCAGGAGGCTTAGCGTCATGAGGTCGCCAAGCTTTGCATTGCAGAGGCTGGTGCGCTGCCAGCTCTTGATGATATTTTGTCTCGAGAACCCGCGCTTGCACTCCACGGTGCTGATGGGCAGCACCACAACTGCAGCCCACAGCCTCACCAGATTTGGGTAGCTCCGCGGCCAGTCCGCAGTAGACAGCATGGCCTTCAGCCCCGCGTGGAAGGTCTGCTCCTCCTTCGTAGCCCCACACAGCACAGGCAAGAAGGTGCGCATCTCCCTCCGTGTTTCACGCTTGGTGACACCTGTTGAGGGGGATGGTACGCAATGTAAAAGTCAAGTTATTTAGCACTAGCATGCATGCATTGGAGCACGCCACTGGCAAGCTTGTCGCCCCAAAGGATCCCGCCCCCCTAGGTGCCTCCCCGTCGGATGTGGAGGAGGCTCGCTTAGAGAAGGCGCAGTTGGCGGCCAGTCAAGGCGCAGTTGGCGGCCAGTCGCTAGGTGGCGCGGGACGACGCTACCGTGCTCGCCATCACCGAACTCCTGCCCCTGTCTGAGCAGCTCCACTTCGAACAGGAGGTAAAGACCAAGGGCCTGTTTTGCGCTGTAGTCAAGCGCTACTCCACCCCGACCACTGCGTCCCTCGGCCGTCTTGTGCTGTCCTTCCTTTTCCCTGACCTGCCCTCTTTTCAGCGTGTTGCTGATCTCATTCTGCACATAAACCAGCACTCAATCCACCCACCTGGTACGATCTCGTCTCTGTCGCGAGCGTGGAAGAGTCCGATAAGGCCATCGAGCTGCTCAAGGCACTCGGTGTCACGCGCCTCCCTGCTTCGCGGCCACGTGTGCGGCATGAAGAAACTTCGCAGCGTTGAGGTCAGAGAGGTTCCCCAGCTGCTTATTAAGGTTGTGTATCAGCTCGCTGGCAAACGAGCGACATGTCCTGACGCACGACTGCAGGTCCCCCACGCTCGTCGTGTAGCTTGGAACAGGGTCTTCATGCAGGACGAATTGATGTGTACGGCTGACCCTCACTGTCCACACCGTCCACGGACACGTCCCTGCTGTACGGCGAGCTGTATCGCGCAAGGAAAGGCGACATCGTCGTGCTTAAACCCGCACCGAAGTGTTGCCCGCAGTCGAGGTACCGCTCCGAAATGAACACGAGCGTTCGCCACACCTGGGACTGCATTGCCGTGAAGTCAACCTGGTGGCAGGGTGTTGGGAAGGGGGGTGGACTCGGGTACTTGCGCAAGGGAACAGACACACGATGAGTGAATTACATGAAATTAGCAACATACGCATCTAACAATATTGATGACGGAAATACGTATAATCCCTAAAAAGGTACCTCACGCTTCTGGAACAAGAGGTTCAGTGTGTTGAGCTCGATGTGTACGTCTGCAAGGAAGTACAAAAAAAAGGAACTTGAACGATGTCACCGCCTGGTACATCTTCCAGTCGAGCGCATGCGGGAGGACTATCATGGCCGGGAGAACCTTCAGGAGTCGAGCGGTTGCGTCACCGCGACTCAGCCATCGCATCGCGTGTATCCCCTGAAGCTCCAAGTTGGTCTTCGTGAAGATCTGATGGAGCTCCTTGAAGGTGTCGTGAGAGTTGCTAGAGCGACCGAGGTGCTCGGCAGTTGAGCGGATAACGTCGTCGATTATGCCGAGTTCTGGGAGCGCTGTTGCAGAGTCTCGGGCAGCGAGTTGCTCCCTGCCAAACATGATTTTGAACAGCGCATTAGCAATTTAATTCAAACAATAAACAGGAGACAACATATTATTATCGGTGAGCGATGCAGTGGGTTGACACCAGATGCGGGATGGGCATGCGAAGCCGCGCAGCTAGTCCAGTGCTCCGCCAATCATCACCATCGCACCGTCGGTACTGATACCCACCACCTGGTTGAGATCGAGGTTGATGCTCTCCAGATACCCGGTCAATATGCCATGAAGTGACCCAGCGTCACACTTGTCAACAGTAAGTAACGTCAGAAACTCAGTAGTTACCACATGGTCGCGCAGAAATGTAACATAGACGATAATGTGCTTCCTGCGCACACGATCGGTGCTTTCGTCGCATCTCAAGCCGATGAACGGGCTCGAGCCAATGTACTCCCGTTGGCGTGATCGGAGGTGGGACGATGTCGCTGACATGAGCTGGAATCCGTAACTGCAAAAAAAAAAAAAAAAAAAAAAAAAAAAAACACATGTTAATAATCGATTACAAAAACATATGACAAAGCAACACACGTCGAAAGAATCTCACGTCGTAACCATTCTTGGGGAACCCAGGAGTGCCGAGGAGTGCAAGATGTCTCACAAGCGGCACCCAGAGCTCTATGGGCGCGTCGGTCTTGGCGACGAAGAGTAGAGTCTCCAGTAGCGCCTGCACATGTTCCTGCTCGACATCCCGCGCGACAGGGCAGTCGTTGATGCATTGCTGACCTCTCACAGCAGCCAAGGCCAGCTCCTGGTTGTGAATCGCCTCCTTGTGCTTCGTGGTTCACTGGTGGCTTCGCATTGCCTGGGTTTGAACGTCTATTGCACCTTCGCCCCGGCCGAAATTTGTCCCCGCGCCGCCAAACTCCATGCACACCGTGAACTTCATAGACGGGAAGCCGTATGAGGTCTGACAAATCACAAGCCAAGGAAAGTCAGTGGACCAATGCTTTTTCATACATAAATAGTGCTTCCTGATACTTCTCCTCGGCGATGTCCGGCAGTACGGTGTCGGATGAATCCGCGGGGCCTCTCCGAAACGAGAACCGTCGGGGTCACTTCAGTTGCAGGATCTGTAGAATTCCACTACTATAGCAGCTTGATAGAGCTCGAAGGCACGATTCCAACGCACCAAAGGTTGCAGGAAACGGTCCACTATAGCCAAAGATACACACAAACATATCAGTGATTAAGACTTGGTTGATTTCTGGTTTGTGCTCTCTGGTTTTATACTAGGACGCAATACAAAATAAAAGCACACAGGAAAGTGTCGACCCAGGTCGCACGTTGAATTTCGTCAACGCGAAATTCGGAGCCTTGAATTTCGCCGAGCGAATTCCATTGACTGGAATTCCGTAGACGAGAGTTTCCGCGACCAGAATTCCGTCGACCACCGACTGTAACTCCCGTGCGAATTCCGTTGACTTCGACACTTCGCTGCCGAGTTGCAAACTGAATGCGACCCGAGATCGATTACGCCAAACTGTCCCCAATCTGTCCCCAAACTGTCCCCAATCTGCCCTGACATGACACTTTCGGGATACTTGAATCGAAAGGTCTCTAGTTCGAAACTCGCGTGCACCATAACCAGTGCCTTAGCAGAAACTGTCCTGAATCTGTCCTGAGACACTTTCAGGACAGATTTGAAGGTCACGAGTTCGAATCCCAGCGCAGACATTTTGTTGCTCATGGCAGCATTTCCTTCTAACACGACCCCTTGCTGTCAGGAGCACGCTGCACCAGCCCGGCTGCTGCACAGCATCGGTTGAAGGCTGCCTTGTCGAGCCGCTTCGTGAAGAAGTCCGCGGGCTGCGCCGTCGTAGGGATGTGCTGCAGCTCCAACTTCTTCATGTGCACCATGTCCTGCAGCCACACGTGGCGATGGTCCACATGCTTCATGCGCCCCTGCAGCCCGCTCGCCTGGCTGAGCTGCACCGCTGACATGTTGTTGACGTACAGGGTGGTGGGAAGACCCTTCTTTAGCAGCTGAAACTCCCACAACAGGAACCTTAGCTTGCGCCCCTCCTTTCCTGCTTCCACCGCAGCCACAAGCTCACTCACGGTGGAGGAAAGTTTGGTCGCACCCTGCAGCTTCTTGGCCTGCCAAGAGGCGGCAGCTCCGCCAAGCTTAAAGAGGTAGCCTCCCATGGACGATCGGTTCTCCTTGTCGCCCGCATCATCCGCATCCGCATACCCCACGAGAGTCAAACTCTCTGGTCCTCCCTTGAACAGCAGCCCCATGTCCGGTGAGGCAGCCCAGTAGGAGAGTGTGCGGAAGAGCTCATGCCAATGTGCATCCGTCCTTAGGTGTGCACTTGCTGCAAGGCGGTCGGTCATGGTGCGATCGGCAAACAGCTCAGCATCCTCCATGACAAAGCTGGTAGAGGAGAGAGGGGTGATCGGCTGCTTCTTCGGTGGCGCCCCCTTGAAGAACCGATGCTGCATCTTCGCCACGTATGCATTCTGGTGCAGGAGGAGTGTCTTGTTGGGGCGGTCGCGCACAATCTGCAGACCAAGATAGCCTTCCGTGGATGACATGTATTCCACCACGAGGAGACCTTTGTCCACCACTTTGCCTTCATGTCCGGTCAAGGTTACTCCGAGGTTGATGATGATGCTCCTCAATCCCCCTTCCTCCTCATCAGCCTCATCCAAGTACTCCACATCATAGTAGATGTCCGTGCCATAAGCACCTCCATCAAGGAATGCCATGCCGTACATGTTGTTGCCATCAACCGCATCCAAGGCCGTCATGGTGGATGCGGGAAGCCGAACAGGTGGCATACCCTTGTTGGACCTGCTAGAATGACATGGGGGTGGGGGAGTGGGCTGGAGGGGCGGAACCGTGGGTATGGGGTCCTTCCCATGGGTTGCCGCCGATTTCAGGTCCGTTGCCTCTCCTTCCTTGTCTTCATCAGCTGCACGATGTTCATCCACAGAGGGACCAACCTCTGGTCCCACGGGTGCCAAGCCAGCAGCTAAGGATGGACAGAGAGGTGGCGGAGCCATGGTTGCGTTGCTGCCCGCAGGGTCAACCGAACGATCAAACGGTTGTTCGCCCCCTTGCACGGACGGCACTTGGACCATGATGACGGTACGTGACGGCGGCTGATTCTGCTCAGGGCCATGGACCATCCCAAGAACCTCCCCCTCTCGCTCGTCAGGCAGCAAAAGTGTTTGAGGAGTGAGTTTGGCTTCTTGGGAGGAGGCGCTCGACGTGTCCTCCCCTCCTTTCTCTAGGTCCATGCCTAGCATGCCACTGTTTGTGGCTGTCCACTGCACCACACCAGCATGGTCATTCTCAAGGTGAGTGTGCCGCAGGTTGAGCATCGCCTCGGTCCCCACCGCATATGTTGTGAGGCTGGCCGCTTCGTCATTCTCTTCCGGCGCGCTTGACACCACCGCAGCAAATGCCTTAGGCATACCGTTGCATGCCACCTCAGCCGCCGTGCCGTTGCATGCCGCCGCAGCCGCCGTATTGTTGCATATTGCTGCAGCCGCCGTGCCGTTGCATGCCGCCGCAGCCGCCGTATTGTTGCATATTGCTGCAGCCGCCGTGCCGTTGCGTGCCGCCGCAGCCGCCGTGCCGTTGCGTGCCGCCGCAGCCGCCGTGCCGTTGCGTGCCGCCGCAGCCGCCGTGCCGTTGCGTGCCGCCGCAGCCGCCGTGCCGTTGCGTGCCGCCGCAGCCGCCGTGCCGTTGCGTGCCGCCGCAGCCGCCGTGCCGTTGCGTGCCGCCGCAGCCGCCGTGCCGTTGCGTGCCGCCGCAGCCGCCGTGCCGTTGCGTGCCGCCGCAGCCGCCGTGCCGTTGCGTGCCGCCGCAGCCGCCGTGCCGTTGCGTGCCGCCGCAGCCGCCGTGCCGTTGCGTGCCGCCGCAGCCGCCGTGCCGTTGCGTGCCGCCGCAGCCGCCGTGCCGTTGCGTGCCGCCGCAGCCGCCGTGCCGTTGCGTGCCGCCGCAGCCGCCGTGCCGTTGCGTGCCGCCGCAGCCGCCGTGCCGTTGCGTGCCGCCGCAGCCGCCGTGCCGTTGCGTGCCGCCGCAGCCGCCGTGCCGTTGCGTGCCGCCGCAGCCGCCGTGCCGTTGCGTGCCGCCGCAGCCGCCGTGCCGTTGCGTGCCGCCGCAGCCGCCGTGCCGTTGCGTGCCGCCGCAGCCGCCGTGCCGTTGCGTGCCGCCGCAGCCGCCGTGCCGTTGCGTGCCGCCGCAGCCGCCGTGCCGTTGCGTGCCGCCGCAGCCGCCGTGCCGTTGCGTGCCGCCGCAGCCGCCGTGCCGTTGCGTGCCGCCGCAGCCGCCGTGCCGTTGCGTGCCGCCGCAGCCGCCGTGCCGTTGCGTGCCGCCGCAGCCGCCGTGCCGTTGCGTGCCGCCGCAGCCGCCGTGCCGTTGCGTGCCGCCGCAGCCGCCGTGCCGTTGCGTGCCGCCGCAGCCGCCGTGCCGTTGCGTGCCGCCGCAGCCGCCGTGCCGTTGCGTGCCGCCGCAGCCGCCGTGCCGTTGCGTGCCGCCGCAGCCGCCGTGCCGTTGCGTGCCGCCGCAGCCGCCGTGCCGTTGCGTGCCGCCGCAGCCGCCGTGCCGTTGCGTGCCGCCGCAGCCGCCGTGCCGTTGCGTGCCGCCGCAGCCGCCGTGCCGTTGCGTGCCGCCGCAGCCGCCGTGCCGTTGCGTGCCGCCGCAGCCGCCGTGCCGTTGCGTGCCGCCGCAGCCGCCGTGCCGTTGCGTGCCGCCGCAGCCGCCGTGCCGTTGCGTGCCGCCGCAGCCGCCGTGCCGTTGCGTGCCGCCGCAGCCGCCGTGCCGTTGCGTGCCGCCGCAGCCGCCGTGCCGTTGCGTGCCGCCGCAGCGCAGCCGCCGTGCCGTCGCGTGCCGCCGCAGCCGCCGTGCCGTCGCGTGCCGCCGCAGCCGCCGTGCCGTTGCGTGCCGCCGCAGCCGCCGTGCCGTTGCGTGCCGCCGCAGCCGCCGTGCCGTCGCGTGCCGCCGCAGCCGCCGTGCCGTCGCGTGCCGCCGCAGCCGCCGTGCCGTCGCGTGCCGCCGCAGCCGCCGTGCCGTCGCGTGCCGCCGCAGCCGCCGTGCCGTCGCGTGCCGCCGCAGCCGCCGTGCCGTCGCGTGCCGCCGCAGCCGCCGTGCCGTCGTGCCGCCGCAGCCGCCGTGCCGTCGTGCCGCCGCAGCCGCCGTGCCGCCGTGCCGCCGCAGCCGCCGCAGCCGCCGTGCCGTTGCATGCCGCGGCAGCCGCCGTGCCGTTGCATGCCGCCGCATGCCGCGGCAGCCGCTGTGCCGTTGCATGCCGCCGCAGCCGCCGTGCCGTTGCATGCCGCCGCAGCCGCCGTGCCGTTGCATGCCGCCGCAGCTGCCGTGCCGTTGCATGCCGCTGCAGCCGCCGTGCCGTTGCATGCCGCCGCAGCCGCCGTGCCGTTGCATGCTGCTGCAGCCATTGTGCCGTTGCTTGCTGGCCACGGTTTCAGGTCAAGGCAGAGAAGACGATGGCGGTAGCGTGCTGTTGCAGCCACTTGTCCTCCCGACGCGATGACGCGGGTGACACCTTCTTCGGTTTGCAGATTTGCTCCTTTGTCCGTGAGCTGCCTAGGAGAGACCAAGTTGGCCTTCATTCCTGGCACAAAGAGGACATCATGCAGGGTTACACGCAAGCCGTTAGTGCCCTTCAGCAAAACCTCGCCAACACCGGCAACTTCCTGCATAGACCCATCAAACCCTTTGACGGATTTCGTTGCAGATGGGTCACGGATCACCGTGAACCACTCCTTGCGGCCGGTCATGTGTTGGGAGCATCCCGAGTCAAGGAACCACAAGTCCTTGTCGCCGGCCAGCAACTTTGCAGCCGAACACGCGACGGTGAGCGCCACGCCCTTCCCGTCTCCTTCGGCTACGTTTGCGGCTGCCGCGTGTGTTGTATCCTTCTTGTTGTGGCACTTGGCAGCCATGTGCCCCTCCTCATTGCAGTTGTAGCAGTGCCCCTTGAAGGGGGCTCGCTTCTTCTCCCGCTTGCCATCCTTTTTCTTGTCCATCTGCTCCCTTCCTCCTTTCCCTTCCTTCCCGCTGACCCCCCTTGTAGCCACGATCGTGTTGACAGCGCCAGAGAAAGCCGATGCATCACTGGTGATCTGCTTGTAGCTCTGTTCAATGGAGAGAGTCTGCTCCTCCATCAACACCTCGCTGCACACGCGTTCCACCATCATGTCAGGGCTGGAAATGTCGAGCTTGCGACGAAGAAATCCGTACTCCGGTGGCAGACCCTTCAGCACGTGAGCGGCAAACGTGGCCATGTGGACCTCCTGTCCGATGGTCAGCAGCTCCGCTCGGATGGTGCGGGCGCTATTGCAGTAGGATTCCGCCGTCTCATCATCTCCCTTCCTGATTTGGGCTAACTGGGTCTGAAGTAGGGAAGCATGGAGGGCATCACGAGCTTGATAAGTAGACAAGATATATGCCCATGCTAGCTGCCCGGCTTTCTCTTGCTGAGAGAAACCAGAGATAGACATTCGGGTGGGTGGAGAAAAACATCGGTTCAACACCATGAATGCAAGCATTTGGCCCTTTGCGTACACCCTTCGTTGCAAGGGGTTGTTCGGGGCTGGGCTTGGTGCTGTCCCGTTGCAAAACTGCCACAAATCAGCGCACTGGAGCTGAGGTCGGATGGCGCTGACTCATGCGGTAAGGTCGTGCCTTCCCTCCAGCAGCGGCGTCACGGAGATGTGCTCTACTCCAAACTTGAATTGGCCGTAGCTCGCCCCGATCATTCCCGTGTCAATGGTCGGTGCAACAGCTCCTCCACCAACGCCCACGGCAGTTGGAGCCTCGTGCACAACTCCTCCTTCACTAGTTCCTCCTTGCTGGCCGCTCGCAGGTGCTTGCTCCGCCGCGCGCTCCCGAACCATGCGTAGTAGACGACCATCCACAATGAGGTCGACCTCCTCATCACGCAAGTTAGGGTGGTGCTCACGAACGGACGCCTCCAGCTCCTGACGGACATTCAGGCCCTCAGCGCTCGTTAACCACTCCATCCGCGGTCAAAACGAGCATCGGCCACACCCAGTGATGGGAGGACGGAATCAAGCCGCTAGTTGGATCGCCGCAGATAACGCAGCTCTGATACCATGTAGAATTCCACTACTATAGCAGCTTGATAGAGCTCGAAGGCACGATTCCAACGCACCAAAGATTGCAGGAAACGGTCCACTATAGCCAGAGATACACACAAACATAGCAGTGATAAAGACTTGGTTGATTTCTGGTTTGTGCTCTCTGGTTTTATACTAGGACGCAATACAAAATAAAAGCACACAAGAAAGTGTTGACCCGGGTCGCACGTTGACTTTTGTCGACGCGAAATTCGGAGCCTTGAATTTCGCCGAGCGAATTCCATGAGGAAATGACGAATCGCCCTGTTTGTTTGTTTCCAATTCCTTTCGGCAGTGGTTTTGACAGAGCAACGATTTGCGATCGCGTCCAATTTCTTGGGTCATATTATTTTGCCATTTCCCCTTTTTGAGTCCAAAATACATATTGGCTTTGTTTTACAGGATATCTAAAATCATCTCGTCGCGTGGGGTGCAAAAGCTCAGCTCGGGACAAAAAAAAATATACCCTCTTGGAAGGCATACCACGTAAAGGACATCAACCCTAAACACCATGAGGCAAGGTGTTTAGGGTTGATGCCTCCCAAATGGCTTGTCATCCGAGTGGGTTTTAGTTTTGCCACTGGCCCCTTTCCTGAAACAAGGTAGACTTCGCAATTGCCCTTTTATAAATATGGTCACGAAAAATGGGAAATAACGAGATCGACTGCCCGTGGGAATCGGACGCGATCGCGGAGCGGGATTGCTGTCAAAACCACAGCCCGTTGGAATCGGAAACAAGAAAGCACCGCGGTCCGTCATTTCCTCGAATTCCATTGACTGGAATTCCGTAGACGAGAATTTCCGCGACCAGAATTCCGTCGACCACCGACTGTAACTCCCGTGCGAATTCCGTTGACTTCGACACTTCGCTGCCGAGTTGCAAACTGAACGCGACCCGAGATCGATTTCGCCAAACTGTCCCACGGCGGCCACTCGCCACTCGCCACGCTTGGAGACCCCCCCGGGTTTTCCGCCTCGACCGTCTTCGCCCCCTCCGCAGCCTGCTGCTGTGGACTCTGGAGCTGAGACTACACGTGCTGAGACAGAGGGTGAGGGTTCTGGAGGTGCTGTGCCTGGGGGTGCTGGTTCTGGGGGTGCTGCGACAGGGGGTGCTGACTCTGGGGGTGCTGCGAGTCCTAGTGGCGGTGGAGTTGTGGGTGACCCTGTTGGAGGTCCTGGAGCTGGAGGTACTAGAGGTGCTTCTGGTGCTGGAGGTGCTAGAGCTACCACTACTGGAGGTGCTGGAGCTGGACAGCCACCGCAGCCTGCTCTACTTGAGACACTCTCGCCGCAGGCGATTCGTGCGTGGGTCGTTCGGCGAGGCAGTCCTGGTGGTGGAGGGTACATTCCTGCTTGTGCTGGAGCTACTAGTCCTAGAGGTGCTGCTGGTGCTGGAGCTACTAGTCCTAGAGGTGCTGGAGGTGCTGGAGGTACTGCTTGAGGTACTAGAGGTGCTGCTGGTGCTGGAGGTACTAGAGCTGCTAGTCCTGGAGGTACTGCTGGAGGTACTGGAGCTGCTGCTGGTGCTGGAGGTACTGGAGCTGCTAGTCCTGGAGGTGCTGCTGGTGCTGGAGGTACTGGAGCTGCTGGCACTGGAGGTGCTGGTGCTGGAGCTGCGGGAGCTGCTGGTCCTGGAGGTGCCTGTACTAGAGGTACTGGAGCTGCTGGAGCTGGTGGTGCTGCTCGTGCTGGAGGTGCTACTGGAGCTGCTGACCTTGGAGGTGCTGGTGTTGCTGGTGCTGGAGGCGCTGGAGCTGGAGGTACTGGAGGTGCTGGAGTTGCTGGTCCTGGAGGTGCTCGTACTAGAGGTGCTGGAGCTGCCGGAGCAGGTGGTACTGCTGGTGCTGGAGGTGCTGGAGGTGCTACTGGAGCTGCTGGCACTGGAGGTGCTGGTGCTGCTGGTGCTGGAGGCGCTAGAGCTGGAGGTACTGGAGGTGCTGGAGCTGCTGGTCCTGGAGGTGCTCGTACTCGAGGTGCTGGAGCTGCCGGAGCAGGTGGTACTGCTGGTGCTGGAGGTGCTAGAGGTGCTACTGGAGCTGCTGGCACTGGAGGTGCTGGAGGTACTGCTGGTGCTGGAGGCGCTGGAGCTGGAGATACTGGAGGTGCTGGAGCTGCGGGTCCTGGAGGTACTCGTACCAGAGGTGCTGGAGCTGCCGGAGCAGGTGGTACTACTGGTGCTGGAGGTGCTGGAGGTGCTACTGGAGCTGCTGGCACTGGAGGTGCTGGAGGTACTGCTGGTGCTAGAGGTGCTGGAGCTGCCGGAGCTAGTGGTGCTGGAGGTGCTGGAGGTGCTGGTGCTGCTCGTGCTGGAGGTACGGGAGCTGCTGGTGCTCTTCGCCACCTTCTCAGTCTTCCGCCAGGTGCTACTGACTTCCCTGTGGCAGGTACTACTCCTCCGTTACTGTTTCCACCGGTCGACCAGTCTCAGCCGCCGCTGCTACCGCACTCCCCACTGCCTGCTCCTACTTCTTACACTGCGGTGACACAGTCCCTGTCTGAGCGTCGAGAGCCTGAGACTCGTGCTTCCACCCCTGAGCGTCGAGAGCCTGAGTCTAGCTTTGACCATGATCCCGAGCCTAGAGCCGCTGTCCGTACTCGTGTTCCTCGTGTTCGTCGTCAGTGTGCTCCGGCTGTCCCAGACACTCACGATATGACACTCCGTCCTTCCTCTGTTCCACAACGTGTTGTCCTCCCGTTACCTCCTGCGTCCTCTCTTCCTGACGTTGCTGACCCTCCGTCTGACCTTGCTCGTGCGTCCAGTCCGACTGTTACTCGCTTTCTTGCTACGGTGGTGACTGACCCTTCGTTTTCGTCTCCTGCTGCGTCTGCCTTAGTCGCTGAGCTCGTTGACTTTGCTGCTGTGTACCGCCTAGACTACCTTGTGAGCCTTGTTTCTGACCCTGTCCCTGCTTGTCCTCCGTCCGTCGGGGGTGAGACTGCCCTTAGCTGTACTGCCCTTGGCTGTGACATTCTTGAGGACAGGCAGGAGGAGCTGGAGTGCCTTGCGGCCGCTTCACCCCATCTCGCGACCATGCTGCTTGCCCCTGAGGGAGACCCGGATGCACTTGACATCCCCACCCCGTGCTCTTACAGAGAGGCGATTTCGGGTGAGTACTCCTCTTAGTGGCAGACAGCCATGGACGCAGAAATGGCTTCCTGGAAGTCCACAGGCACCTACGTCGACGAGGTTCCCCCACCTGGGGCGAACATTGTCAGTGGCATGTGGATTTTCAGAGTGACGCGGCCGCCGGGTTCTTCGCCTGCCTACAAGGCACGTTACGTTGCTCGAGGCTTCAGTCAGCGTGCGGGGGTCGACTTCTTTCAGACCTTCTCCCCTACCCCAAAGATGACCACTCTTTGGATGTTGCTGCACGTTGCAGCACAGCGCGACTACGAGCTGCACTCCCTCGACTTCTCGACAGCTTTCCTACAGGGTAGCCTTCACGAGGCCATCTGGTTGCGCCGTCCAGAGGGCTTCACTGGGTCGTTTCCTGAGGGTACCCAGTGGAGCCTACGGCGACCAGTGTACGGCCTGCGTCAGGCGCCCCGCGAGTGGCACGACACACTGAGGACGACACTTGCGGCTCTTGGGTTTGCTCCTTCGACTGCTGACCCGTCGCTGTTTCTACGCACCGACACTACTCTGCCGCCGTTCTACATCCTCGTGTACGTTGACGACTTGGTTTTTGCTACTGCTGACACTGAGGCACTGGCCCTAGTGAAGGCGGAGCTGCAGGAGAGACACACCTGCACTGACCTGGGTGAGCTGCAGAGCTATCTTGGCTTGCAGATCACCCGGGACAGAGCACGGCGCACCATCACCCTGACTCAGTCACACATGGTGCACCAGGTCCTTCAGCGCTTCGGCTTCTCATGGTCCCCGCCACAGCCCACTCCTCTGTCTTCCGGCCACTCGCTCTCAGCTCCACCTTCTGACGAGTCCGTAGAGCCGAGTGGTCCGTACCCAGAGCTTGTGGGTTGCCTCATGTACCTGATGACGTGCACACGACCTGACCTCGCGTACCCTCTCAGCCTCCTGGCTCGCTACGTGGCACCCGGTAGACACCGAAAGGTGCACTTTGATGCTGCGAAGAGGGTGCAGCGTTACTTGTGCAGCACATCGGGCATGGGGCTCGTGCTTGGAGGACAGGGTTCAGTGGTACTCACAGGACACTCTGACGCTTCTTGGGCCGACGACCAGACGACCCAGCGTTCGTCACAGGGTTACACCTTTAGTCTTGGCTCTGGTTCTGTCTCGTGGAGGTCCACTCGTTCTTCTTCTATGCTTGGCTCCAGCTGCAAGGCCGAGATCTACGCTGGGGCCATGGCTGCACAGGAGCTACGCTGGCTGACCTACCTGCTGACCGACTTGGGGGAGCGGCCTCGTTCTCCTCCAGTTCTGTACGTCGACAACAAGGCAATGCTTGCCATGTGTCACGAGCAGAGACTGGAGCACAGAACGAAGTACATTGCTCTTCGCTACTTCCTTGCGCGTGAGCTGCAGCAGCGTGGTCAGCTGCGCCTTGCTTACGTGGCCTCTCGGGCCAACACTGCTGATGTCTTCACCAAGGCCCTTGGGTCTGGTGATCATCAGCATTTCTGCACAGCTCTTGGGCTTGTGCCCACTCTGCCTCACCTGCTGGTTGCTTGACTTGCTCTTGTTGTACACTTGTATATATCTTTATACCTGCTTGTTTACTCTTGCTAGGTTGTGATCAGTGTACTTGCTTGCTATTATAACTCTGCATGTGAACTGGCCTTGTGGCCGCTTGCTTGTGCTCAGAATGCGTGGTGACCTTATGATCCACCCTGGGCTTTGCTTTGCTTTGTTCTCTTGCCTGACTTGTCTTGTGACCGTCTGTTCTGTTTGCTATCTCCCACTTAGCCTATGGGGGTGTGTCAAACTGTATGTTTGTGTTATATCTAGGCTATAGTGGGTTAGCCTACAAGGGGTACAACACTTTAGGGTTAGGTACTTGTACTCATGCATGCTACCTAGTCCATCATTCCTGCCTGCTGATTCTAACAAGAAAACTGATTGATCAGGGCTATATCTCATATAAAACCGTTTTTACAGTCCTGCACCCATTCACTAATACTAAAATCAGTGAAATCAGTATCTTTTATACTGATAAAATAGGGCCTGCGTATGGTATAATTTCCAGCCATCAGATATATTTTGCCTGATCACAAAGATGACCGTATTCACGAGCATGCCAACCAATAGTGGTATGCACCATTCCATAACCACACCTGTATCGCAGTGTCACTCACATTTTCGGCAATTCTAAAAATAGTGGTTGTATTTTGCTCACAGCAGTGCACTTGATTGTTCACAGGTTGTTCTACTAGCATGCAGCACAGCTGCAGAGATGCCGATGAACCGGATTAACTATGAATCAAACCAGGAGAATAAAGACGGCAATAAGCTTCTAACCTCTGCTAGATTCTTTACTCTATTTTATATGAGGCTGGTGGAATACGGCTGGTTGATAATCATCCATCAAGGTCAGCATGCAGCAGGGGAGGCCAAGCCAGGCACGGGTGCAGCAGAGTCGTGAGAGGGAGGTGAGGCAGCGGTGAAAGCAGCAGGCGCTGCAGACAGAGCAGATGGAAGTGCTTGGAGGTCTGCTGGGGTGAGTGGCCTGGAAAGATGATCGGCATTAGAAGCAGCGGCGGCGGGGGAGAGGGAAGTGGCAGGAGCGGCGAGGAGCTTCTTGATGTCCTCTGCTGTCATTGTCTCTCGCTCCAACAGCGCTGCTGCCAGCACATGCAGCTGCTGCTCGTGCTGCCACATGCACACACACACGGGCATGTCAGAGGGGACCGGGGGAAGAGGGGGCCATGAGGGGGAGAACGTGAGGCATGCGGCGGCATGGGGAGCACAAGGCATGCAGTCCAGAGCGCAGGGCCCACAGTTTCACGGAGGAGGGCAGGGCGCACCTGCTTCAGGAGGGTGGTGACGCGGCCGTACGCCTCCCTGAGCAGCCGTGACACCTCAGCATCTGCCACGCGCAGCACCTCGCTGCTCACGCGCCCCTCCCCCGCGCCGTCGCCCTCAATGAACACGGGCCCCAGCTTGTCGCTCATGCCACACTCGCGCACCATCTGCCGCGCCAACCTGGTGGCCTGCCTGAGGTCGTCCCTGGCCCCGCTGGTGACGTGCTGCGCGCCAAACACCACCTCCTCCGCCACGCGCCCCCCCATGCACACGTCCAGCCGCGCCAGCATCTGCGCACGTGTGCGGCTCGTCTCAAAGTCCTCATCCGGCATCTGTGTGACCATGCCCAGCGCGGCCCCCCTTGGCATGATGGTGGCCTTGTGGATGGGCAGCGCGTGCGCTGTGTACAACGCCACCAGCGCATGCCCACTCTCGTGGTATGCCGTGTTCTGCCGGCAGAGGGGGAAGGGAGAGGGCAGGTTGACACGGAGGGTGAGTGCACAGTAATGCGGGGGAGCACACACAACAACCGCCACATGGTGGCAACCCGCTAACCCCACTACCATGGAAGCACCACCCCCCAGGCCGCCATTCCCTGGCGTTGGGCACGCACCTTACGGCAAGCCTGTGAGAGCACGAGGGAGCGGCGTTCAGCGCCCATGAGGATCTTGTCTTTGGCGAACTCCAGCTGCTCCCGCCCCACCGCCGCCACGCCGTCCAGCGCCGCCTTCACCGCCGCCATGTTCACCAGATTCGCCAGGTCTGCCTCGCACACAAGGACAAGGGGGGGAAAGAGACGGGCACGACAGAGGTGAGAGGAGGGAAGAGAGGTTCCAGTGTCGAGCAGACTTGCATGTGCTTCCATGCCCTGATGCTCCACGCTCTGCCAAGCCCTTCACCATCCCTCTCTCCCCCACAGCCCACCTACCCCGCAGCCACCTCCCCCACAGCCCACCTGCCCCACAGCCCACGTGGCCACCCCACCTGCCCCGCTGAAGCCGGGAGTGCCCTTGGCGAGCGTGGCGACGTCCACGTCGGCGTGCAGCGGCTTGCCCTCCAAGTACAGCTCCAGGATCTCCCTCCTCCCCCTCACGTCCGGTGCCTGCACCACCACCTGCTCATGGGCCGCACGGGCGCTCACACACGCATTCACAGGTGCGCGCGTGCACACATGCACCCACACACTCACACGTGCACACAAATACACTCAACCATCCACATGCGCACACACAGAGACGGATGCAGGGACAGCTGACGCCCTTGCGTGCACAACACACATGGTAAAGTGGGAAGAGCGACAAAATGAGAGGACAGAGTGGAAAAGGTGTGCCGGTTTGCTCCCACCAACTGTGCTCCCTGCACTTGCTCCCCCACGCCCTCATCCCCCTCCCGTCCCCCTGTCCACACCCTGCCCCCCTGTCTACACCCTGCCCCCCTGCCTCTCCCCCTCTTTCCCTGTGTGGGCTCACGTGGCGGTCGAAGCGGCCGGGGCGGGTGAGGGCGGGGTCGAGCATGTCCGGCACGTTGGTGGCCGCCATCACTATTATTCCCTGCCATGCCCGTGCCATGCCGTGCCACCGCATGCCACCCCATGCCGCCCCATGCCACCGCATGCACCACGCCCCATGCGACCATGCACCACAGCCCATGCACGCACCACACACAGGGGTGCATAGAGGAGAGGAGAGCGGAGGGGATTGAGCTTCAGAGACATTCACGACTCCAACGGAAGCCGGGGGACATGGTGAGAATAGGGGAAGTGGACGACCAAAACATGCTGGTAATAGCAGGAGCAGCAGCAGCAGCAGGGGAGGCGGAGGCGGCAGTGGGTTTGACCTCGTTGGGCTCAAAGCCGTCCATCTCGACTAGCAGCTGGTTGAGCGTCTTCTTGCTGTGCCCCTCCCACTGCTTGCGACTGCCCCCCACCGCGTCTATCTCATCAATGAACACTATGCACGGCGCCTGCCAACCAAGCACCGCACCGCACCACACGACGGGGGCACATGGGGTGGAAGGCAAGGGACAAAACAATGCAATCACCCATCATCACAGTGCTTGAGGATCTTTTGCAACTGGCAGTTTTAGGGAGTGGAAGAAGAACGAAACTCTGCACTTCTGGATACGGAAACGTTTGACACCGACAACATACCATATGCAGGGTGATGCAGCAGGGTGAGGGTGCTGTGGCAGGGTGAGGGTGATGTGGCAGGGTGAGGGTGATGTGGCAGGGTGAGGGTGATGCGGCAGGGTGAGGGTGATGTGGCAGGGTGAGGGTGATGTGGCAGGATGAGGGTGATGTGGCAGGGTGAGGGTGATGTGGCAGGGTGATGTGGCAGGGCGCTCACTAACCTTCTTCTTGGCCGCTTGAAACAAGGTACGCACCCTCCTTGCTCCCACTCCCACAAACCTGGCATGGCAGAAGCAATAGGGCAGCGACGGGATGAGATGGAGCATGACTCACAAATATGGTGCATGCATACGCAGCATGACTCACAACATGGTGCATGCATACGCAGCATGACTCACAACATGGTGCATGCATACGCAGCATGACTCACAACATTGTGCATGCATACACAGCATCAGGATATGAAAAGCATGTGTCCTTCTCCCCCTCTCCCCTCGCCTCCTCTTTCCATGCACATGCCCAGCCCTGTGCCCCTTGTCCCCCCCCCTGTGCCCTCCCTCTGCGCCCCTTGCCCCCTCCCCCTGTGCCCTCCCCCTGTGTCCCCTCTCCCCCCAGGGCTTACATCTCTTCGAACTCGGAGCCGGCGCGGTAGAAGAAGGGCACGCCCGCCTCGCCCGCTATGGCCTGCCGCCCCGCACCCCCCCCACACACATGCCCACGCACATGCACAGCACACCACAGGGGAGCAGCAGGCGTGCGAGCAAGGGGGGAAGAGGCGGAGGCGAGGAAGAGGGCGAGCAGTGGAGGCAGGTGAGCGTGGTGTGCGGGTGTGAGGCGCCTCAGAGGGACAGGCAAGGGAGACTGGATGCAGACGAGGAAGATGGGAGGGGAGGGACGATAAGGGGGAGTGATGCAAGCAAGGAGCGCATAGGAAACGGCGGGGCAGCAGATGGAGGCACCTTGGCGAGTAGTGTCTTGCCCGTCCCTGGTGGGCCGATCAGCAGCACCCCCTGCACCCACAAGGCACAAGGCAGGAGCGCAGAGGGAAGGAGTGAGAGGCGGGCAGGCAAGCACAACTCAAAGGCTTGAACACAGGTTGTGTGAGATGCAACACAGCAAGCCACGCCAGGAGGAAGAGCAAGACGCCCACCATGACCGCCCACCATGACCGCCCACCATGACCGCCCACCATGACCCCCCACCAATGAGGGCATGCACCTTGGGCAGCGTGCCCCTCTCACCTTGGGCAGCGTGCCCCTCTCACCTTGGGCAGCGTGCCCCTCTCACCTTGGGCAGCGTGCCCCTCTCACCTTGGGCAGCGTGCCCCTCTCACCTTGGGCAGCTTGCCACTTCCCTCTCACCTTGGGCAGCTTGCCACTTCCCTCTCACCTTAGGCAGCTTGCCACCGAGGCGGGTGAAGCGGTCGGGGGCGCGCAGATACTCCACGATCTCCTCCAACTCCGCCTTCGCCTCGTCACACCCCCTCACGTCCTTGAACGTGCGCACACTCTGACGACAGGGGGGGCGGAGGGGGGGAGAGGGGAGATGGGACAAGGAGCAGGAAGGAGAAAGAGAGATAGGAGCATGAGGAGGGATGCGATTAGGATTTGACAATTACGTACTGCCTCTTGCCATTTGCTTGCTCTTGCATGTTCGGCATTTCAGGCATGTTCTCACCTTCTCGGGCATGCGCTCACCTTCTCAGGCATGTTCTCCTTGTTGTACTCCTTGGGCGAGTACACTCCCGCCCCGGCCCCCCCCATGCCTGCTGCTGGGCCCCCCGCCATCCCCCCTCCTCCCATGCCGGCGACGCCACTGGCGTAGCGCCTCAACGCCGTCGTTGCTGCCGCCCTGCCAATGTGCACCGTGCACACACGCACCCCACACACACATGAGCGCAAGCATGCACGCACAGGTGAACCATCCATGCATGCACACACGAGTGCAAGCATGCACGCATGTGAGCAAGAAAGCTTAGCTTGCTGCAAAAAGAACAGGCAAACCGGTGGGCGAGAGGGCAGAGGAGGGCGAGAGGGCAGAGGAGGGCGAGAGGGAAGGCGAGGGTGGCGGACCAGAGGAGGAGGCCGAAGAAGCAGGCGAGCAGTGCAGAGAGCAGCTCCTGCAGCACACGCAGCCCGCGTGACAGCGGCTTCACCTCCCTCTCCACCTGTGGGGCGTGGCAGAGGTGGCATGGGGCGTGGCAGAGGTGGCATGGGGCGTGGCAGAGGTGGCATGGCGATGGCACGCACGGGGGGTCGGGCCGTGATTTCCACAACACATCGGGAGAGAAAGAGAGGTTAAAGGAGGTGCGCATGCAAGGGAATGAAATAGCATGGAATCAACAAATGCAATGCACAGTGACGATCGATGAGCATATGAGATGCATGACATGTGCGCATAGGTTTATCCCACACACACATGCACACGCACGCACACGTGCACTCACGCACACATGCACGCACGCACACATGCACGCACGCACACATGCACGCACGCACACATGCACACGCACGCACACATGCACTCACGCACACATGCACGCACGCACACATGCACGCACGCACACATGCACTCACGCAAACATGCAGGCACGCAGACATGCACTCACGCACACATGCACTCACGCACACATGCATGCACGCACACATGCACGCACGCACACACCCACACACCCACACACAAGCATGCACACACACACACACATGCTAACACAAGAAGCCGCCGTGACCGCCCACATACCACCATCACCACGTGCACGCACCATCACCACGTGCACGCACCATCACCACGTGCACGCACCATCACCACGTGCACGCACCATCACCACGTGCACGCACCATCACCACGTGCAGGGGCGTGTGCGCCGTCGTGCCGGGCGGCAGCCCCAGCTGGCCCTCTTCTGACGTGGCGCGCTGCTTCAGATCCTCCAGCTGATGACGTCAGCATGGGGTGGAGAGACAGGAGAGGGTGCGATGGGAAGGCGGCAATAGCGGGTGATGTATGCATGGGCATGGGGGAGGACGTACCGGCAATGACCAGCAGCATACGAGCAAGGGGAGGGGGGCGTACGAGCAAGGGGAGGGAGGCGGGGCGGGCGTTGTCGGAGGAGGGGAGGAAGGAGGAGAGGCGGTCGGTGGCGACGAGCGCCCGCAGGTAGATGGCAACGCCCTCCGCGTCCACCGCGTGCTGCCTTGACTCAAAGCGCTGCACCACCGCCCCTGGGCTGATGTGGTGTGGGGGGGAGGGCGGTGAGGGACGAGAGGGGAGGGGAAGGGGAGAGCAAAGAGGGGAGAGGGATGGAGGAGAACAGATAAGAGGGAGGGCGGGCGAGGTACAACGTAGAGGGATGGGTATGGATGCATGACGCGGATGGCATGATGGATGGCCCGCGGCTGAGATGGCTCTACAGGATGGGACGGGGGGAAGACAGGATGGGACGGGGGGAAGACAGGATGGGACGGGGGGAAGACAGGATGGGACGGGGGGAAGACAGGACGGGACGGGGGGAAGACAGGATGGGACGGGGGGAAGACAGGATGGGACGGGGGGAAGACAGGATGGGACGGGAGGAAGACAGGATGGGACGGGCGGAAGACAGGATGGGACGGGGGGAAGACAGGATGGGACGGGGGGAAGACAGGATGGGACGGGGGGAAGACAGGATGGGACGGAGGGAAGACGGGATGGGACGGGGACAGGGGAGCGCAGCAGAATGGGGAGGCGAGGTAGCGGGAGGGGGAGGCAGGGAGCCCATGGGCGCAGGGGGCGCGGCACTGACTCGGCGCGGAGCAGCTCCGCCAGGTACTCCGCCTGTCTGCGCGCGTCTTCCGGGTTGCTGTCCGCCGCCTCCTGCAGCTGGCGCAGCCGCCGCCTCTGCTGCCACAGGGGCCACGCCGCCACCATGCGCGCCACCCTGCTCTGCGCCACCGCCGCCGCCGCCGCCGCCGCCACCAGGTTCAACGGAAACCACAACGTGCGACGCACCTCCCCTTCCCGCCCTTCCTCCCCATCTTCCCCCTCCTCCCCCGCCTCCTCTGCCTTCTCTGTCCCCCCTCCTGCACCATCGTCCCCGCGCGCTGCTCCTGCAGCCCCCGCAGCAGGCGCGGAGGCAGCGGCGGGAGAGGGCTCCGTGGCGAGAGACGAGGGACGCGTGGGGCCTGCGGCAAGGGAGGCGCTGTAGCTCGCCGCACCCCTGTTGCTGCTGCCGCCGCCTGACCCTTGGGAAGGCCGATCCGCCTTATCCGCGCTGTCCGAGGCGAGCACCGCGTCACCCGCCTTGGCCTCCTCGCGTGATGGCACAGCTTCTGCCTCTGATTGGTCGTCAGGGCCACGTGACGTGGACGCCCGGCAACGCACACTCGATGACCTGCTTGCAAGCCCGAAATAACATCGCTCTCCTTCTCCTGATAACAACGGACCTCTCGCAAATGGAACTTCAAATCTGCCGTTGCCGCTTCGCGCTGATCGCGACGGTTGCACACGGCGCGGATGGGATAGCCGTGGCGAAATAGATAACGACTGGCGCGTCGAACGGCGACGGATCGCGAACGAGGGATGGCAGTTTGACGGCCAGTGCGCTTGGTACAAGGGCGGACTGGAGGAGCCACGAATCACGGCAGCGTCGCTCCAACAATCGGGTTGTGCGGCTCTTCCTGCGACTTCGGCAGCTAACGCGCCGTGAATCGCTGCTGACTGTAAAGATGCCATAACAGCAATTCAGTATGACAGCAATTCACTGCACGAAAGCAGTCCACTTTAGACTAGTGCGCGGGGTGAGGGAGAGCGGCATGGGTGAACGAAGCAAGTGAGGGACTGCTGATGCAGACGGCGGCCAGAACCTTGGTAAGGTTGCTTCAGCCGAAAAGCTCGATGTTCCCAACCCCGAGGGTCGCCATCTCTGAAGCGAACTTGTTACCCGAAACCCACAGATTTGAATGGAGCGAGGGTTGGTATCCCGCTTGGGCAAGTTTTATCGCTTGAACAACCTGTTTGCCAGTGCGAAACAAACTCTTCAATCTCGCGCAGGCAGATTGGATTTCGCCACGATGACCTCATTGTAGCCAAAACCGGTTAGGTTGAAATGTGAACAATTAAAACCAGGGTGCACATTCCGTGCAATTTCTTCAAAGGTTATCCCTTGACCCGAGAAGTTACTAGGGCTGTTATGATTTGTACTAAACAGTGCGCGGAAGACTTTATAAAAATGATGAATTACATAATTCTGAAACAATGAAGAAACCGAGCATTTATAGGGCGAATACGTGCTAGGCGGACCTCGTGATGTGCGAGGGTTGGAAATGTTGCGATTGGTGCGGGGCGACTCGGCAGTGGTTCGGGCCGAAGTGTAGGCCGAACCGAAGACTGACGCGAAGTGTTCGGGGCTGTCCTCGCTAAGGGCAGCTTCGGCAGTGATGAATTGTATATTCATTACACTCTCCCACCTTCTAGATAAGGTCCCCTTATATGTAGACGAGTCTTATATGTCAAAGCTTAGGCAAGGTGATTTCGACTATCGAGAGTTTGGTACAAGAGGAAAAGCCTAAGGGGTTGTACCCCACAGTGAATACCCCACTAAAGCCTACCTAAACGACAACATATAAACATATGTTTGACACACCCCCATAGGCAAAGTGGGGGAGAACAGAGGGTCACAAGACCAGGCAGGAAGTGCAAAGCAAGCTCAGGGTGGATCACAACGTCACCACGCAGTCTGAGCACAAGCAAAAGGCCACAGGGCCAATTCACATGCAGAGATATATACGTAACAACAACAGCACAGTGATCTCTACCTACCAGAGCAAGCATGCAGGTATATATATAGATCACAGTACAAACAAAGCCTACAGCAAGTGAGGAAACGTGGGCACAAGGCCTAACAAAGTACAGAAACGCTGATGATCACCAGGCGGAAGTGCCTTGGTGAATATATCAGCAGTGTTGGCCCGAGTGGCCACGTAAGCAAGACGAAGCTGACCACGCTGCTGTAGCTCTCGAGCAAGGAAGTAACGCAGAGCGATGTGCTTCGTTCTGTGCTCCAGTCTGTGCTCCTGACACAAGGCAATGGCGGCCTTGTTGTCGACGTACAGCACTGGAGGAGAACGAGGCCTCTCTCCCAAGTCGGTCAGCAGGTAGGTGAGCCAGCGTAACTCCTGTGCAGCCATGGCTGTGGCGTAGATCTCAGCCTCACAACTGGAGCTGAGAACTGAAGACGAGCGTGTAGAACGCCAAGAAACCGAACCAGAGCCAAGGCTGAAGGTGTAACCCTGTGACGACCACTGCGTAGCCTGGTCGTCAACCCAAGAAGCGTCTGAGTGCCCAGTGAGGACAACGTCACTCCGTCCTCCAAGCACGAGCCCCATGCCCGATGTACTGCACAAGTAGCGTAGTACCCTCTTAGCAGCATCCATGTGCACCTTTCGGTGCCGACCAGGAGCCACGTAGCGAGCCAGAAGGCCAAGAGGGTACGCAAGGTCAGGACGAGTGCAGGTCATCAGGTACATGAGGCAGCCCACTAGCTCTGGGTAAGGACCACTCGGCTCTACGGACTCGTCCGAAGGTGGAGCTGAGAGCAAGTGACCTGTAGCCAGAGGAGTGGGCTGTGCCGAGGACCAGGTGAAGCCGAAGCGTTGAAGGACCTGCTGCAACATGTGTGACTGAGTCAGTGTGATGGTGCGGCGTGCTCTGTCCCGGGTGATCCGCAAGCCAAGATAGCTTGTCAGCTCACCCAGGTCTGTGCACGTGTGTCTCTTCTGCAGCTCCGACTTCACCAGGGCGAGAGCCTCAGTGTCAGCAGTGGCAAAGACCAAGTCGTCGACGTACACGAGGATGTAGAACGGCGGCAGTGAAGTGTTGGTGCGCAGAAACAGCGACGGGTCAGCAGTCGACGGAGAAAACCCAAGAGCCGCAAGTGTCGTCCTCAGTGTGTCGTGCCACTCACGCGGCGCCTGGCGGAGACCGTAGACCGGCCGCCGGAGGCTCCACTGGGTACCAGGAGGGAACGACCCAGTGAAGCCAGGTGGGCGGCGCAGCCAGATCTCCTCGTGCAGGCTGCCCTGTAAGAAAGCTGTGCTGAAGTCAAGAGAGTGAAGCTCGTAGTCACGCTGGGCGGCAACGTGCAGCAGCACCCGAAGAGTGGTCATCTTCGGGGTGGGGGAGAAGGTCTGGAAGAAGTCAACCCCCTCTCGCTGACTGAAACCTCGAGCAACGTAACGAGCCTTGAAGACAGGCGGAGAACCTGGCGGCCGCTTCACCCTGAAAATCCACATGCCACTGACGATGTTCGCCCCAGGAGGGGGAACCTCGTCGACGTAGGTGCCTGTGGACTTCCACGATGCCATCTCTGCATCCATGGCTGTCTGCCACTGAGAGTAGTACTCACCCGCGATCGCCTCAGTGTAAGAGCGCGGGGTCGGGATGTCTGGTGCATCCGGGTCTCCCTCAGGAGCAAGCAGCATGGACACAAGATGAGGCGCAGCGGCTGCAAAACACTCAAGGTCCTCGTGCCTGTCCTCAAGGACGTCCGTGCCAAGAGCACACTCACCCCCGACGGACGGAGGACAGACAGACTCAGACTCAGCAACAAGACTAGCAGCGTAGTCTAGACGACAGGCAGCAGCAAAGTCAACAAGCTCAGCGACTAAGGCAGACGCAGCAGCAGACTCAAACAACGGGTCAGTGACAACAGTGGCTAGCAGACGCGTGACAGTAGGGTGCTCAGCACGAAACCGGTCAGACTCAGGGTCTGGAACAACAGGCAGAGAAGACTCTGGAGGGGACGGCAGAGGAACACGCTGCGGAGGAGAGGAAGGACGACAGACTACAAGGGAAGGACCGGGGACAGCCTGCGGACGCTGACGAGGAACACGACGACTGGAACGACCAGAACGGACAGGTGAGACAGGACGCGACGCAGGCTCACAACGCTCAGTAAAGCCCCCTGTCTGCTCAGCGTAAGGAGAAGGAGCAGGCAGAGGTGAGCCAGGCTGTAACGGAAGACCAGTAGACGACGGGAGGCTAAGAACGTGGCGAAGTACGGAGTCAGGCGGTGGCAGAGACGACGGAGACGGTGGAGCAAAGAACAGGCGCGGCTGTGCAGTGCCACCAGCACCAGCACCCGCAGCGGCTCCAGCGCCTCCAGCAGCTCCAGCACTCTCAGCAGCTCCAGCACCCTCAGCAGCTCCAGCACCTCCAGCAGCTCCAGCACCCTCAGCAGCTCCAGCACCCTCAACAGCTCCAGCACCCTCTGCAGCTCCAGCACCTCCAGCAGCTCCAGTACCCTCAGCAGCACCCCTAGAACCGGCACCTCCAGTCCCAGGGTCTCCAGCCTCCGTGTCTCCAGCAACAGCACCCCAGACCCAGGGTCTCCAGTAGCAGCACCCTCAGGCTCAGCAGTACCTCCAGCCCCAGCAGCTCCAGCACCTCCAGTGCGAGCACCTCCGGGACCAGCACCATTCCCAGCTCCAGTGGTGTCAGCAGAAGTACCTCCAGCGGCAGAGCCCCGAGCTCCAGAAGCACGACCCTGACGGCGACCGTACCAGTCGTGCAGCTGCTGTGAGGTGAGAGGCACACGCGTTCGAAGGCGGCTACTCCAAGGAGACCGCGCATGAGCAGACTCAGAACCCTCAGGCGTCGCACCCCCAGACTCAGCACCCCCAGGCTCAGGACCTCCAGGCTCCTCACGCTCAGGCTCAGCACCCCGAGACTCCGCACCCCCCGGCTCAGCACCCTCAAGCTCCGCACCCCCAGGCTCAGCACCCCCAAGCTCCGCACCCCCAGGCTCAGCACCCCCAAGCTCCGCACCCCCAGGCTCAGCACCCCCAAAGACAGCACCACCCCCAGTAGGACCTGAGTCACCAGTGACCTCAACAGGCGCAGGCACGGGAGGGTCTACCTGAGAAACACCTGAAGGAGCAGGACCTGGCGCGGGGAGGGGGTCTACCTGGGGAGGACCTGGGGCGAGAAAGAGCGGCGGGGGGGGGCGAGGGGCAGTGCGGTAGGGAAAGAGACGGTAAAAGGGGACGGACTCGTCAAAGGTGACGTCCTGAGACGGAAAGACACGGCGCGAGGCTGGGTCGTAAAACTGCCAGCCAGGTGCGTCAGGAACAAAGCCAAGGAAGACGCAGGGAATGGCGCGAGCGGAGAGTTTGTCCGCGGTGGTATCGCGGACAAAGGCACGCGCACCCCAGACCCGGAAACGCGACGCTCGCCAACCTTCCCCGTCCACAGCAGTGTGGGCGAGGTCTCCGGCAAGGAGACACGGGGCCAGAGGTTGAGCTGATGCGCGGCGTACCGGACCGCAAACGGCCACAGAAAATGGGGGGCAGCCGCATGGATCATGGAGGTACGAGCGACCTCCATGACTAGGCCAATGCGGCGCTCAGCAACCCCATTCTGCTGCGGAGAG